CCCCAAAACCCCAAAACCCCAAAACCCCAAAACCCCACATAATATTTTATTCATGGAATAATTTAATTTTGAATATTTACTGCATTAATCCTTTTTCAAACTCTTCATGATGGCAATGGAAAACTTGTCTTCCAAAATTTACGTCGAAGGTGCATGGCCCATCTCAAGCAATGAAAGGATAAAGCCCTTTATGATTTGGTATGAACAACTTATGCTTCATCATTTCCTTCTTTCTTTTCTTCTCTAACTTATCTTTCTCTTTATCCTCCTTTTTGTCAGCCGCTTTGGTTTTCGATTTCTTTTTATTTCTTATAATGCTTGCTCAGAAAAGTCTTGCGTGACTGAATTTCATCAGGCATTTCAAGGTTATTACAAAGAGTCCCGTTACTTGTGGGAACTACCTCTCATCTATCTTCGGAATCTTCAAAATCTTTGTATAAGAGAAGGCCTCCTACATCTCCGAAATATTTCATTTGGTAGTTAAATTTATTTATTTTTCTGTCCAACCTGGACATCGCCAGTAGTTCCATCAAAAATCACAGTTGTATCAGCAGTATCTGGCAACTGGTCATTATGAAAGTTTTGTTTCTCTCATAAGCCAATATACACAGCAGAATCATCTGAATTTTCTACTAAATCTATCTCAAAGTATTTGTACTGTCTGCATTGTCCGATTGAAGAGTTCAGCCTAACAGCTAAAAGTTAACATTAATCCTTACCGAGTGTCCTTCCTGGAGCCTGATTAAAAATAATCTGCTGTCCATTATGCTGAGCTGATCCTTTACTAGAGGATATCAATTTTGCCAAACTAGACGGAATTTCTATGCGTAGATTCCTTAATGATAATTTATCCATTGCTGATAGTTCTGGGTCGTCAAAAATATTGTAGTCATAATTCGTAGACTGCCTGTGCTTTAGCCAAATTCTCATTACAAAATACCCTACAACTGCAGTTATAACAGCAATGACGATAAGTACAAGTGTAATCTTTAGCACCAACCACCATGGGATTATCAACATGAGAGCCCAAATTTTCTCACCGAGCCATACAAGTCCCTATGAATTATCAGATTTAACATAACAATTTATGCCTTACCTTCCAAATTATCGTCAAAAGCCACATAATTGCATCCCAAATAATTCCGATGATGCCGGATTCTAATACAACGACATCTTCTTCTCCACTGCTTTGACTCTGCGTAAGCACAGGGGCATTTGTCGGTATCCTTAATCCAGTTTGACTTGTTCTCACTATTAATAAACTGTTTGTTTTACCCAAAGGGCTATTGAGAGCACTACCTCTTGCCAAAATAAGGGCCATTAGTAGTCCAATTGTGACCATATATTTTCCTGTAAGCTTAAACTCTATACCCAGTTTCCCTCTTGGTGGTTTAGCCATGAGTCGATTCCAAATAATTCAATAATTTATAAACACTTAGGGGTTTTGGGGTTTTGGGGTTTTGGGGTTTTGGGG